AGAGAGAGAGAGAGAGAGAGAGAGAGAGAGAGAGAGAGAGAGAGAGAGAGAGAGAGAGAGAGAATCACTCTAGGACCTTTTGTCAGTCATGTGACCGGCAAGCTCACCTCTCAAAAAGAGGAATTGCTCCAGATTCCCACCAGCCCTTCAGTATCTAAATCCTTGGCAAAGTTCAGAGAGCAGGGAAGGAATGTAGCTTTGGGTTCCCTCTATGAGTTTGGCTCCGGCAGACACTGCGACAAGAGATCAGAGACACTGCCTGGATGCCTGCCCATTTGCAGCCTCTGCTCCCCATCTATTTTCCTAACTCTCAGCAATGGATTAACCATAAGGAATAACACCTTTCCTGGTAGTCACATAGGAGGCTGAAGGTATTTTCCTGTTGTGAGTGGTGGGGTGACTCCGGAGACACCCCTGGACTCTCAGAGAAAGGGGGACGCTCTCTTTGTTACTAGGAGTCCTGGGCCACACTGAGAATGTTTGAGTCTGCTTTAATCTATCAGCAACCCATTAGCAACAGATGTACCTGATCTACCCCCCTTAATAGCCCTCAAAATACGTCAGGCTTTCTTCCGTGTTTTCAATTGCTGTGCTCATCACGTATGGCTTTAGTGAGTGTAGTAATGGCCTTCTTACCCATAGTTAGGATGCTTCTAAAAGATACAGCAAATCAACCCCAAACTACGGTGGCTTAATAACAGACCATTAGTTCTGCTGTGACTCCTCCATGGAGACACTTGCCACAGTGATTCTAGATCCACGCGCTCTCACTCCTAGAACGTTGCTGTACTGCCAAGTTAACTATTTTGTGTAGGGTCACATGGTAAATATATCAGATATTTGGAGACACATGGTCTAAGTTGCAACTACCCAAGTATATCACCATAGCAGAAAGCAGCCATTTCTGTACCCAAATGAGGGGGGGGGCTACACTTGGATCCTACTTTGTTCTTGAATATTGAAATTTCAATTTTGTGTAGATTTTACATGCCCTGAATGATACTTCTTTTGAATTTTCTCTGCAAATAAAGAAATTTAAAAACAGGTCTTCATTTATGAACCACACAGAAAGAGGTGGCAGGGTAGGTTTGTCCCTGAGGCCCACCGTGATGACTCCTGTATTCAAGTGGAAAGAAAATCAGATTTAAAGGTTTCTGCTGAGAGCTTCGGCTACTTCAGTCGCTGAGAGTAAAGCATCTCTCTCCTTTTTGTTTTGTTTCTTGCTGCAGGCTCTGGAAATATGGCCGTGTCGCACCCCATCACTGCCAGTACACCTGAAGGGAGCAACTACGGGGCAATAGGTACCTCCTGCAATGGGTCCTCTGGTAGAACTCTGTCTCTGTTCTGCGGAGATTAGTGTAGAGGGCTCTGCAGCCACTAATCATTATGAGCACGGGTCAGCCAGCTGCCCAGGGACGCCGTCCTTGCATGTACAAGATGAACTGGCTGGATATCCTGGAAAGTTCCTTCCAGCACTCTCTATGGGTCTATTGTTCTGTTTCTTGGATCGGCTGGCTACACTTAAGCAGAACTCACTACAGTGGTTGCCATCAACTTCCAAGGCTCCCTTGGGACTTAAAAATTTTTTATTACATCTTTATTTATTTGTCTTGTTTGGGGGGAGAATGTGCCGCTATGCCTATTGGGGAATCACAGGACAACTTGCTGTAGTTGGTTATGTTCATGTACCGTGTGGGTCCTAGAGGCTGAACCCACATCAGTGACAGCAAGCACCTTTTACACACTGGGCCCTCTCACCAGCTCCTTGGCTCCTTAAACTTATTTATTTACTTATTGATTGATTGATATTGTGTGTGTGTGTGTGTGTGTGTGTGTGTGTGTGTGTATGTGTGTCTCGTATGCATGCACATGAGTGGAGGTCAGAGGACACTTCTAACTCAGTTCTCTCCTGCTACTCTGTGGGATCTGGGGATCAAACTCAGGCCATCAAGCCTGCACACACGGTCCTCTACCCTCGCGGCCACCTGGTCAGCTCCCTGAGGAGCTGAGTCTAGGGCTTGAAAGACACATCCCAGCCAGCCACTGCCAAGTGACCAGTTGCTTCCTCCCCAGGTATCAGGGAAGTAGGGCGTTAGAAGTCTGAGACAGGGCTGCGGGTGAACATGGCTGTAGCCGAACTGAGTTCCCAATGAGCCTGCTCAGTGCCACCGGTGATTCACTGGACAAGCCTAGAAGTCATTAAAGCCTCCTGGAAGGAACCAGACCCGCCCCCATACCTATCTTACAGGGCAGGAGTGCAGGGCCTGTGATGCTTGTGGGCCTGTGAATGGTGCACTTTAAACAGTTCCATAGAGGGCCTGCAGTCCTGCTCTGTTAGACTATAACTTCGAGCATGTGGGCTCAGTGCAGCCTACTTATTTTTAAACCCTGTTAGAACAGGGTTTTTTGGTTTTTTTTTTTAAACCATCTGAACAGAAGAAATAAAGCGGAAGGTAGGCTCGGCTCATGCGCTCACGCTGCACAGATCCCATCTGCTCTAGAACATTCATGAGAACAGAAGAATCCTTCCCGAGAATGCTGTTTTCATTATGTAATGATGGAAATGGCATGTGGGGGGTTTCTCTGAATAAATAGTCTGCGAGAAATGTACAGCAGTTGGATATGCATGTGTTTACCCACATGCATGATAGAAGCCAGAAATAACCCGGCACGTGCGTGCTTATACATCTGTGTTCGTATCTTAAAATATGAAACATGAAACACAAGCGCAAATGTTATTTTTGCATCCAGATACATACAGAGCAGATGCTAGTTTATTCTTTATAGTCAGCCCTAGAAACAGACAATCAAATATAAAATATATATATATATATATATATATATATATATATATATATATATATAAGCGAGTCCATTTGAGAAGGCAGCAGAGGAGCATGTCTTGTTGGCAAAGAGTTAATTTGGACTAACACAGTATTTTCTAGAATGAGTAAGCACTGTGCTTTTTGCAGAGGAATGACCTCCATAGACTGTGCCTGGCTTTTCAAGGCAGATGAGTTCTCTGTTTCAGATGAGTCGAGTTCCAGTCCTGGAAGACAGATGTCTCCCTCCGATGGTGGGCAGCCATGCCACTCAGACACGGACAGCTCTGTGGAGGAGAGTGACTTCGACACCATGCCAGATATTGAAAGTGACAAAAACGTCATCCGGACCAAGGTACCAATGCTCCCTGACCGTGGTGTTTGAAATGGAAGAAAGTTTGGTAGTAAAATAAACTTCACCAGTGCCTCAGTTTCCTTAATTTTTTTTCCTTTGAAGGTTTTAGTTGAAACCTAGCTAGAGCCTGAGACAATAGCCTCTTCACCAGATGAAACAGAACAGGGTATTACACAGTCCCAGCACCCGAAGTGTTTGTGACTAGGGAAGGATAAAGGGATCCAGCCAGATGGAAATTGAGATTTGCCTCAGGGCTGCTCTGGAAACCATCCTCATTTCTGTACATATCATCTTTTGAGAGCGAAGCCCATTTCTTTCCGCATATGTTTAATACATTGCATTTTATCTACCAAGAGATAGCGGTGTACATCACACAGTTTCAACTGTGTGCAATTCCGGAACGACAGAGAGCAGGTCTGAACACTGAGTAGGCAGTGCTTGAGACGTGTGAAACATTCAGTACTCCTGATAGGCAGGATTCCTGCATCAGCAAGATCCTCCTTGTGCCACGGAGAATGGTGGTGTTTTCATTGCAGTATCCGGAGAAAAGTAAAATTAAAGGAAATGTCTTTGATGAATAACTTTAATCTGCAGTGGGGACGAAACTGAACTTTCTTATGTTCTCCCTTGTGTACAAGAAAAGCCAAGCTGTGCTGTGGGTATCACTCTCCAGCAACAAAGCTGGGCTCTGCATTCTCTTCCTATTGGTGTCCTAGATGTTCCTGTACCTGTCAGATCTGTCCAGGAAGGACCGGAGAATTGTCAGCAAAAAGTATAAGATTTATTTTTGGTAAGTAGGTGACTAGTAGGTTCATGGTTTCCTTAAAAGTACTGAATTACTTAAATCCATTTGTTTTTATGTATGTGTGTCATGAAGTGCTGGAGATCAAACCCAGGCTCACATATGACAGGGAAGGCAAGTCCTCCACCACTGAGCTACATTCTCAGTCCCTAAATTCTTTACATTTACATTTTTCTTTGTAAAAGCTACTGCCCCTTATATCACATGGAGTTAGTGTTTAATAAGGCATGCTGTGGATGATGATGATGCCTCCAACTTGTAACAAAAAAGACCTGTAATGTGGCCATTCTGTGGGCATGTCCTTCCACCCAGTCAAGAGGCTGAGCTGCCCAGCAGGAGGCCTCCCTCTGCTCAGAAAGCTCTAGACTAACTGTGGTCTCTTGTGACATCCGCCCCCGCCCCATACCTCCTTTTTTATTTTCTGAAGAGTCCTCCTACTTCTGGATGCAGACATTAGAAAGAAGCCAGGGGGGGCAAATGGAATTTCGTAGCTGAGCTCTCATTTTGGAATTAAAAGTGTTATCTGAGAGCCTCCACAGGTAACTCCTCGCTTGTTACCTGCACTCTAATCACATTTAATCTAACAGTGCACTAAAGGGGTAATGTGGTTCCGTAGAAGTACGTTCTATTCTGTTTTACAAATGGTTGTACAAAGAGGAAGAAAGGAGGAGGAGGAGGAAGAGGAGGAGGAAGACTTCAACTCATGGAGTACCAATGGTTAGCTTTAAATACATAATTTCAGGTCATGCATGATGGCATCGTCTGTGACCACAGCTCTTGAAATCACCACAGGTTCAAGACCAGCTTTGTCACATAGCAAGGTCTAGGCCAGTCAAAGCTACATAGCAGGACTCTGTCTCTAGTCATTTAAATAAATGAATGATTTGATGATTTCAGTTAACAGTGCAAGGATGCAAGGATTCTTTGCTCTAACCATACCAATCAGTAGTAACCCAGGTAAGTTTCATTTACTTCCCCTCTGTCCGCTTTGGTCCAAATCCTGTCTGCCAAGTGTTCAAATGCACAGGAGAGGAGAGGCAAACGTCAGAATCAGGTGCCACGCCATCATTTCCTAGTTGCTTTTGCAAGCTCAGTGTGGAGTTGTGAGGTGGAAGCATTCTTTTTTTAAAAGCTGACCAGAGTCCAAAGTCATCTTGGGGGTCACCAAGTATGATTCATTCTGTCGCAGGAACATCATCACCATCGCCGTGTTTTATGCCCTGCCTGTGATGCAGCTCGTTATCACCTACCAGACAGTAAGTGTTGCCATGACACCCACCCAGAAGCCCAGTGTCCATCCATAGGGAAAGCCATCACTCTGGCTTACAGGGAACAGTTTCGCTTGGGAGCAGGTCAAAAACTTTTTTTTTTAAAGATTCATTTTTTTTTAAATTTCCTGAATCTGTGTGTGTGTGTGTGTGTGTGTGTGTGACAGAGAGAGAGAGACAGAGACAGAGAGAGGCAGAAACAGAGAGACAGAAAGACAGAGCAAGAGTAGTGCCTGAAGAGGCTACAGGCATTGAATCTCCCGGAACTGAAGTTGCAGACAGTTGTGAGTTTCCTGCCGTGGTGCTGGGCTCTGAACTCAAGTCCAGGTTGGAAGAACAGTGTTTGCTTGTCACCACTAGGCCATCTCAGCCTCTTCCGTCCCAAGAACTATATTTTTTGGTTAATTGTTTTTTGAGACAGGGTCTCTCTATTTTGTAGCCCTGGCTGTCCTGGAACTGGATATATAGACCCAGGCTGGCCTCAAACTCACAGAGATCTACCTGCCTCTGCCTCCCAAGTGCTGAGATTAAAGGTGTGTGCCACCAGCCTCCAAGAGATTTTTTTTTTTTTTAAATAATTTCCCATTTCAATTCCAATTAGGCTTCTCCATGAACTACTTCATCTCTGGGACCTTTTCCATTTACTTCCTAATTATTTCATCACAAAAGAACCTGGCACCTTATATTGTCTACTTTACCAACATAAAGTCAATCATTCAGGGCTGGAGAGATGGCTCAGAGGTTAAGAGCACTGGCTGCTCTTCCAGAGGTTCTGAGTTCAATTCCCAGCAACCACATGGTGGCTCACAACCATCTGTAATGAGATCTGGTGCCCTCTTCTGGCCATACAGACAGAACACTGTATACATAATAAATAAATAAATCTTTAAAAAAAAATCAATCATTCAGCCATAATGTCTATCAATGGCACCTGTTATTTATCATTCTGAATGTGTGGTCATCGGGAAACAGTAAATGGAGTAAATAAAGTTCTAGACCAACGGACAAGGACTGTAGTGGGAAGAGTGTTTGCCTAGAATGCATGAAACTCAGTGTTCAGCCCCAGCCCCTCATAAACAGATGTCACATGTCTGTAATCCCAGCAATAAGGACCAAGAGGCCAGAGGATCAGAAGTTCAAGGTCATCTCAGGTAGTGAGTTCAAGGCCAGCCTGGGCAATGTGAAACTGCCTCAAAAAGCAAAACAAAATAAAATCTCCAGACTTAACAAAAAAAAAAGTCAGAAGTCTAATTTAGCCTGTACCTGTTCACTGGAGATAGTCTGTAAAATGAGAAAAAGCTTCATAAGGGCTGGAGAGATGGCTCCAAAGCTAAGAGCACTTGTTGCTCTTGCAGAGGACCTGGGTTCCCAGTGCCCACGTGGCCTCTCACAACCATCTGTAATTCCAGGTCCAGGGCAATCTTCTGACCTCCATAGATGTCAGGCACACAGGTGGTACAAAGACACACACACAAGCAAAGCTTTCATACACATAAAATAAATCTTTTTCAAGCAGTTTAAAAGCAGTTTCATGGAACTAACAAAGTATTACACCAACAACAAAAAAATTAAAAATCAGATGAAAAAATTCACACTGAAATAGCTTGATAACGCCCACTGTTCCTTCACATAAACCCTGGATTCGAGTCACCAGAGTCAGAATGTAATTGGGATCCATATTTCTAAGTATAAATTATTCTAGAAATTATGAGACATAAGAAGGCCCATTTAGAATGATAGGACATTTTGTGCACTGTCCCTCAATTTTTGCTATGCATTAAAATCACATGGGGGAACTTTTAAGAATCGCAGGGTCCAAGGTAGAACCCGACACCAAGTAGATCAGGGCCTCAGGATGTAGAACCATGCATAAGCATTGTTTAAATCCTCTATAATTTCTCTGTATAGCCAAGTTAGTGATGTGAAATATTCAGTCCATCCATCCTCCTTACATAATAATAAAGACTAAGTCCCTATGAGGTTTGAGCGCCACTGTTTATAATCTCAACATTCTCTACTTACATGGGACCCAGTCAGACCCTGCAGCTTGCTATGGTTTAGGTAGGTTCTTGATGGACAAGGGGATAGATAAGGAAAACCAGATACTCCCTCACTGGCTGCGGTGGGGCCCTCAGAGGACGGGGCATCTCCCTTCCCTCGGAGCCTCTTCTGTTCTTTGTGACTTTGGGCAGACTCAGAGGATGGAGAAAACCACATTCCCTCTTCTCCCACTTGATTTTATAGGTGGTAAATGTCACCGGCAACCAGGACATCTGTTACTACAACTTCCTCTGTGCCCACCCCTTGGGCGTCCTGAGGTAAATAAACCCAGCCCCCTGGAGCTTCGTGAAGCATTCAAGGTTCTTTCTGTTTCACGTGACTTAAGGTTTTGAAACCATGGAAACAACTGCGGGAAACTACCCTAGTCAGGGCAAAGAGGAATTAAAGCTAGATGTAAGAGACCAGGTATGCTTCTCTCCTGGGCAATATTCCTAAGAGCAGCCTGCTGAGGCGTGGCCTGTGAGGTTTTTAGAAGCCGATTCCCTAGCTGTGGGCGGCACATGCCTGTGAACACGAGTTCGTGGCCAGCTCTCATTCGATCTGTTAAATGACCTCACGAGGTAGGCAGTGTTAGTACCACCATTCTAGATGAAGATGCTGAAGCTTAGACAGGTAAGGATTTGCTGAATTTGGTTCCCTTAGTTCTTAGTGATGTCAGAATCCATCCACAACCCCGGCTGTTCTAAAGCCCCCAGAACTTGGTGAAAGAAAACGTCTTCCAGAGAGGTAGGAACCCAACTTCCCTCTACAGAGCAGAACCAGCCGTGGTTTCCTGAAATAAAGCCACCGTCTGTGACGTGTCTGTGCTTTCCCTGAAATCCCCAGTTGGAGAGCTGTGGAATATTGACACACGGTGGGTCTGCTGATGAGAGTCATGGGTGGAGTTTAAATGCTCGTCCGTCTCTGGACCAGCCCTCTCTCAGGACTCATACTTTGCCAGGGCCATAAGGACAAGCGATGATCAAGTGGATGTTAGGGGTGGTGTAGCTAGAGTTTTCCGCCTTGCCCACAGTCAGGACAAATCTTTGTC